CTGATCTCCAGCATTCCTTAACGTTCATATCATAAGCTAATAATTTGATAACGCAGCAATCTGTCAACTAGTTCACGTGTCGTTGCAATATTGCGCTAATTATTATCTAAACTTGTAAGGTATTTTATAAATTATTATTTTAATAAAAGTTCATCATATTTGTCGTTTAATATTTTGGCGTACAATTGACATCTAATCAAAAATAGTCAATAACCGATCATAAACTGTCCACGTGAATTCGCTTATATTGTGGTAGCATTAATATTCAATGCATCTTCAATTTATGCTTATTTTATTTGCTCTAAAAATTTAGTTGAACTTTAAAAGTTTGAACGCATGCTTTTTACACAAAATATCAGTACAACTTCAAACTTTGCCTTGTCGAATATTCCAAAATGTTAAATTCAAAAAAAAGAAGCGAGCGTAAATATCATCAAAATTATCAGCGAAAGTGTAATCAATCAACGTGAATTATTTTCAATTATTATTCAATTCTTTTAATTATTGTCATTCATTATAATTTGTGTTTATGTTTTATATTTTCACAATATTTATGTGTACTATTTAACAAATCTTTATTTTTGCGTACAAATATGTTATGTTCTATCTTCAATTTATCAAACCATCTGATACTATCAGCTGCTAATATGTGACAAAAGCATGCATAATGATAGTACAGGCTATTGTGCGCCGTATTATTTCCGTGTTGAAGTATATAATACACTTGTTCATAGCAACTGATAACGCCATAAAGTTACTGTGTTGTAACAGAGCAATAATTAATTAGTACCGCATAATATTCATGTTGTCAGTCAGTTGACAACACATCATTTCATACTGGCAATAATGTTAATTGTAGTCATGAAGGGCAGATTCTTGAATAGCATCAGATGCTTATACTTCATGTTAATTTAATCAAGACTCTGACCTATGAAAGTGGAATTGAAGGTGCAGAGTGTGCCACCGAGAATTTCAGCGCAGTAGAAAAGACTGCTTTTGCTGACATGACAATAAGACTTTGCTTTGAGAGCGTTTCAGTGAGCCAAAGTAAGTGCTGGTGAAGTCGCTGTGGCGTCCTTTTCTTTCTTCTTCACTTCTGAATAAATGCCCCTGGAATTATTATGTAATCCTCAACCCTTCTCATTTCTTCCTTTGTCTTTCTTCCCCTTTTTGTCCACTATAAATAACGGTGTCTTTTTTACACAAAGTCCAGCAGCACATTTATTCGTGATAAATGGCGACAACTACTTTTATAGCTTTTCATTTTTACTCACCATTATTACATGCTTATTTATCATTTAATATTACTATTACTATTATTACTATTATTACTATTATTATTATTATTATTATTATATTATCTATTGTTGACTAATTTAGAGAAACTATTCGTTGTATTTTTTTAGAGTTAACAATTGAGATGCTTAAAAGTAATTGAAAAGCTGTTATTTTTCATTCTTGAAATGGTATTCATATCATCCTTTATATTTATAAGAACTGCACTACAGTTGTTTGCAATTTGTAAAAATTATACTGGCATTTTTGCCAATTGTATTAATTAATCGCTTTAAGCTGACTAGTTTCTGGCATTTTTGCTAATTTATGAAAAACTAATTTGCATTAAAGATAAATTAACTTTTTTTTTTAACGCTCATAAAATGTTTCCTTCAGAATTCATTTTACAACTTGTGAAAATTCCCTGACTGAAATATCCAATTTTTTTAAACATCTTTAATTATTGAATAATGCTGAGTACTAGGATAATGTTCGGAAAAAAAAATCAAAAAACGTCAAAACTGCCATTGACATTATTTTTTACGTCTTTTTACGTGATTTTAACAAATAAATGCTTTGCCAGTTGAAAATATTAAACGTGTAAATTAGTTAGACGCACCAATAATCATTGCTTACTTTGTTCTACACACCTTTTCTAGTCTTTTGTATAATAGCCACGAAAACTCAAGTACTGCTTCAAAAACATAATTCGGCATCAAATTTTTACGAGTCATAGTTCATCAACAGACACTATAATAATAACCTTAAGCAGTTAACATGTTCTTATTTTATTTAAACTTTCAACAAAGTTAAAATATCAAAATTTAATGTAATTTAGCACAGCGCTTAAAATATGCCTGAAAATGCAAGTTAAATATGCCTAAACCTTGCTCGTCTTTCAAGTTCTTTTAAGGCACATATTTGCCCCCTTCACAATTTTTTGCTAAGAATTGAATCCAAACCTGAGTTTTTCAGTATTTGATTCAATGCATGTGTTTTCGGTCGATAAATTTTCAAAAATTACATGTGAAAAACAATTTCAATTAATTTTAAAAATTCCTTCACAAAAAGTTTTAGCATTTGTCATCTACAACACCTTGTAATAGTCAGAAAATAAGTTTCAAAAATCTTTTGTTCATAGTAAGGTATTTAAGTGAATTGAAAGGAAATTTTAAATTGGTGTTTTTGAAATTTTTCAATGACAATGTAAAAAATACCTATAAACGTGAAAGTACTACAGGAAAACATTGTAATACGTTGCGTATTTGAAAAGGACAGTAGCATGCATCAACGGAGGCAACGGTGCTTTACGTGGAGGCGACATGGGCCAGCGTTGTGGTGACGCAAAGTAACGAATATGAACCATTACGGTTACCAGCGTGTTGAATCTGATCCTACACTCTGCTCTGAACCTGCTAAAAAAAGATACTGTATGCTAGTACTAACTATATTATTATTGTTTTACTGAAATTAGTGCAGTATTAAATTTTTTTATGAAGGATATTGGACTTAAATTTTTATGTTTGAAGTTTTTTTCCGAAATGAAAGAAAAAAGTTGAACTGAGACACTTATTTAATTCAGTATACATAATAAAAATTTTCACTTGAAACTGAAATTTAGTCATGATTAAATTCATGAACCTAATACACAAACTATCTTAAGTTAATTGGAATATAAATCCGATTTCGATTTTACGTATGAACGTAACCACAAACCATTTTTAAATGTTAGCTAATAAATCGAGCTAAAACTGAACTTGAAAATTTGAATTCTCTATCGAAATTTTTTTTAAGCACAAAATTATTTGTAGCAGCTCAGAATTATTCGGGTATTGCTGAAATTAGCTCGTACAATCCGGATCTTTCTGATGATGTCGAGCAATATGAATTGGATGATCACGTGGGAGAGATGTCACAGTCATTTATACACAATTCTCGAAATGTATGCCTTAATTTGTCTTAGAATTATCACATATTATCTATCACTATAAGTCAATTACCAGAGTTGTAATTAGTGCTAAAGTTTTGTTTGTTTTAATTTTTAAAGTTTGCCTTCTTGCAAAGCGCTCTCTGCATATCTCATTATGCTTAAATTTGTTTTGAGATAAAATTTGAACACTGCAAATTATCAGATTATTAGATTCATAATTAATGAAATTATGTGGTATTTTTCTACTGAGAAATGATTTTTTTTTCGAATAAAAAATCAAAAACTTGAAAAAAACTGCTGCATTTATGATAAAAGTTTGTGCAGCAAAAAATTGAGAAAAAATTGATTGTTAAAAAAAGCAAATAGCATGAATTCAGCGATGATTTTTGACATTTGACTTCTATCCGAGCAAAAAAGCTTTGCAATTAGATTTTATTTTCATTTGCATACACATATGTGTTCAAATTGCATGAAGTTGTGGACAATATTCAGTTTAAATTTGATTACTATCTATGAAAGATTCTTTTTGTAAATGTTACTTAATAAATTAATCTAATTTTCGAGACAAAATATTTTACCAGTTTTTTGCTTTGCATTATTTTTATAATTTAAATGAAG